GACGTGCCACGTGTGTTTTGAAACAGAATGTATTATATAGCGTAATTCAGTAATGAAACTCATATATGTAAGATGTTCACTTTAGAAACACTAACATCTATTGGGCGAATATTTCGGCTACTCCTGTAGTCTTTGTCAACGCTTACAAAGATAAAACATATATTTTATGTCATGTGCGTCGTGCAGCTCTTTATGGCCCAATAGGAGGCACTATTTGGCGTATCATAGTCCAATGAAAAATCATCGGGTTTAGTGAAGTCACTAATGTCACTTATAATCGCATCTGCCATTTTATTGTCACTTTGCTTCATAGCTTCTTACTGTAGGTAGAATCAGGTCTCAATATATTTGACTCCGTCAGACGCTATCAAGATGCGCCCTTTTTGGCGCCAATCTTTGTTACTTTTTATGCTAATCACAGCATTTTCTGATGCAGCTCGAGTTTTTAACTTTCAACCTGGACTTGACTATCAATACGAAGTTCAAACAGCTACAGATTTAACTAATGTAGGAAGAATGAATGCAAAATCTAAGGTATGGTATTCAAGAAACTATATTGTTTGTTGTAAATAGGCCTAATAAAATACAAAATAGAAAATAAAAAAGTTAAAAAGATTCAAAGGTAAAAAAAGAAAGTTGCATAATCTAATGCCAAGAAAAATCACAGTGTTAAATAGGCCTAAACATTAAAACGTCAAAGAAGAAACGTGAATACTGTAACACATACAGCTCTATCCGCACTTTAATGTGACAAATAAATGTGATATGCTCATATTATTGGTGTAATATGACATTGTCATGCCCATATACGGGCACATCACACTCTTTTATAAACTGTTCAAAACTTATAGGGTTTATAATATTGTACATTGAATTGTTGTTTCATCGGTATATCTTTGTGCTGTACTGTTCTATTTGTCGGTAATACGATGAAAGTGTATAATGATATACAGCAGTTGATGAATTGAGTTAACCGAGTTGTGGCTGGGAACCCCGATAACCAGGGTCTTACTATTTGATATAGGTTGGTTTTCAATGGATTAGAGAAACAGAAGATAGACAACACGAGATATACCTTCGGGTGAGGTCTTATTCAATGACTTTTAAAAGTCATACAGGTATGGACGATGCTAGTGATACTTCAAAAATATGTTAATAATATAGGTCAACAGACAACGTTAAAACTTTTTGATTTTTTTTTTCCTAATTTCGTTTTTGTCATTATTTAAAATTTGGAATGTATTTATTTACTTATTTTATTAACGAATACATTGTCCCTTACCCCCCGTCTAACTTTCATGTAGACGGGGGGTATTACACTACTGTAATTAAAACCTACTTGACGGATTTCTACCGGACTCTCCAGGAACAATAACTCAGCAGTGCCGTATTTAGGGGTGTGCGTAGGGGCGCACGCCCCTCCAAAAAGTACTCGCGCCCCCCCAATTTCCCACCCCAAATCACTTGCAAGTGGTTAAAACTAAACTAAAACCACTTTATTTTACGAGTTAGCGCCCCCCCCCCCTCAACTGATCACCATTTCACCTTAGCGCCGCCATCAGCACCCCCATTTCAGACTTCAGGCACGCCACTGGCTCTCATCCAAATTAATTCAAATGTAAATATAAAAAAATATGTAATTAATATTATAATATAATTGCATTTTGTTCAACAAAGTATATAAGGGATGTAAATGGAATTTCAATTTAACTTTTATTACTGTGGAACCATATTTTCCGAAGTTGTTATTTAAAATGATTGTCTTGTACATTAAATTTTTAGTGTCGGATGACGAGATGGACATTGAATTTGATAATTGGTGGGTATACAGTTTTACGGGTTTTTTTTTTTTTTTTATCAAAGAAAACAATTTTTTTCCCAGCAAAAGTATTTTTAAAATAACAGAACGTGTAACTTTAAATTCATGTTTGTTCATGTTTTTATTTGACTATTTACTTTCTTTATTATTTGTTTTGCCTATAATACCGTACCTTAGTTTAGGCCATTATAATATCAAATTCACTTTAGAATAATGATGGGAGTGACTGTCGAAACATATTGTCACTAGGCCTAAAATTTAATTTTATTCCATTCAATACATTTAGATGATTCTCTAATCAAAGAATCGGCTGGTATAAGTGTATCAGCATTTTATTTGTCACCGAAACTGATCACTTAGGTAGAATCGGCTGAAAATACACATTATAAAAGTAGTTCTTTTCTTATTAGGTTTTCATTTATCATGGATCAAAATGGTGATGTTTCACTGGTGAAATACCAGAAGCATGATGACATGAAGCCAGTTAATATCAAGAAGGCATTGGCTGGAATCATCGCAACCAGACTTCATCATGAAGACTTTGTAAAATAATCGTTTTATTCACATACCGTATTACTGTATGTAAAGTTCAGACTAATAGGCGTACATAACTCATTATATGAGTATAAATAATAATAATAATAATAATAATAATAATAATAATAATAATAATAATAATAATAATAATAATAACAATAACAACAACAACAACAACAACAGCAGCAGCAACAGCAACAGCAGCAGCAGCAGCAGCAGCAGCAACAACAACAACAATAATAATAATAATAATAATCAAAATATCCGTTAAAACTGTTAAATTATATATAAATCTTCAAAGAAAGGTAAATACGGTGTTGTAAAAAAGGACAAGATGGTACATCGCTCGCAACTCACGGAATTGCCGATTGAAGAAAAATTAAGCAGCCTGATTGGCTGTTCTATGTCACATGACCCCTCGAATTCAGTCGGGCATATAACACGTTGTAAACACGGAGTAGTGCGAAGTTGAGCCATTGTTGAATAAGTTGAAGCGCGAAACCTAGAGGGAATCTTTTGGCCAAGGGGACATTTGTAACCGTTCCCTGATTAGACCTAACTATATTAGGCCTAGTAAAATATACTGTGTAATAAGCAAATCCTACAAATACAGTACAGTAATTAGGCGTAGGCCTACGTGGTAAGCTCTGCTTGGCCCCCAGGCCCATTTATTACGTTTTTTATTTGGCAGGTACTTAGTCTTAGGCAATAATATCATTTTATTTTATTTTTACTAATATCGGCCAAGGCTTAACCTTACCAAGGAGGTATAAAAATATTGTACCAGCTGGAATACTACCATGTTATTATGTAGTAGGGGCCTAGCACTGGCTAGTTGTAAGCAGAAGCCTCTTCCAAAATCCAGAAACTAACCTAACCAAGCTTCTAAGACTACCACTAACTCTGTTTCAGAGAAGAGGAATGTTACTAAGTAGTGCCAATTAATTAGTAATTTCATAATACTTAATAGCAGAGTCCGCTGTCGGGGAAAAAAAGCACAATTCGTCGGGGAGAAAAAAAAATTATATGTACAGTATTTTCTACATATTAGTTAGACTCTAAGAAGATCGATTAAATAAGCCTTTGAAACCCCTAATTTGTCAAATTTTTCAAGGTCTTCGTCCTATAGACCACTTTCGAAACCTATTAATCAAAGCTTGACCACGCCCACTTTGCTTTAGTCGGGGTAATCTGACCCCTAGTCGGGGCATCGGTCCCCTTCCTGTTGGGGCCTGGCCCCCCCCCCCCCCAAATCCTGGCGCAACCCCTGATAAGTTGTCTTTTTCATACCGATGTGGTCATCCTCAACGCCATGCTGAAGCCATAAAAATGCGCATAGACGCATATTAGAAAATGAATAAACAGTCATTATTCCCCCAAAGACAAAGACAGAACAGCCAAGTCGTGCTCATTCGCACTCTGGAGCTTGTCTCTTTTTTGTACAGTCTGAGACAACTATACGTATAATAGTTATCTCGGGGGGTGCCAGTCAGTTCAAGGGGATGTCAGTTTGAGTGGATGCCATTCGAGCGGATGCATTTAGTGCGAACTATAACAAGGGCTAATTTATCGTCGCCCTATTCTATTTGTTTTAAATGCAAAAATATGCTCTGATTACTATGGCTCTGAAAATTTTTATGGTACTTTTTGATAATTACTCCATGTTTGAATTACAGTCTTGGCAAATCTGACTACCAAGATGGCCGCTAACAAGTTAAAACTATAATAGAATTGCGCACTTTTCAGCTTAAAAAAGAAAGTGTATGTTTTACTAGCGTCACATGCACAAGTCGAGTTACCATTATTATTATCATGGTAAACAAAGGGGGATGGCTAGACACCCTATTCATAACCCCCCTCCCCCTAGATCCGCTACTGATTGGGGTTTTGTGTTTAAAAAAGCAAACTATATTTGTAATTGCATTATATCATTTTGTAATTGTATTTGTAGATTTACGATTTAGGCCTATATTTGTAAATGGGAGCAACTTTAATTGTAATTGTCACCATAGAAATTTAAATTATAGGTGTGTCAGAAGGTGCACATATGAATAGTGTGGTAGTGTAACACAGGGGCGGTTTTACCACTATTTTAAAAATTTCAATGCATATTAATGTTATGTGCTGCTCACTTATCTTTTCTGAAACTGTTGTGTGCCCCCTCTCCCCCTTTAAAAAATTCTGGATCCACCCCTGTGACAAGTATCAACAGTGCAGTAACAATGACATCGTACCAATTTTCTTCTATAGTTCAAAACCCACTGTTTTGTTTTTTTCATGTGGAAAGGATAACATTGACTAAGTTAGTGTAATTTAAGATAAATCATTATTTTTATGAATGTGGGTATATTTATTTTTTTATTTATTTATTCTGTTTTGAAATGGCAGGCTATAAAGGAAAATAAACTCCTATTCCTGTCTCTTATACACATCTAGATGTGTATAAGAGACAGGTTCTATTTCATTTGTATTTTTTTTATTCCTTTCAGCAACAATACATCACATAAGAAAACAAAGATGAAGAAAGAAAGAGGCTGAGGAGGGCCAATAGTTGTACATAATCTATTATCACCGGTGCCTAACCTTACCAAGGAGGTATAAAAATATTGTACCAGCTGGAATACTACCATGTTATGTAGTAGGGGCTTAGCACTGGCTAGTCGTAAGCAGAAGCCTCTTCCAAAATCCTTTTAGAAACTAACCTAACCAAGCTTCTAAGACTTCCACTAACTCTGTTTCAGAGAAGAGGAATGTTACTAAACAGTAGGCCTAGCCTAGTGCCAATAAATTTATTAATTAGTAATTTCATAATACTTAATAGCAGAGTCCCCTGTCGGGGAAAAAAAAGCACAATTCGTGGGAGAAAAAAAAAAATTATATGTACAGTATTTTCTACATATTAGCTAGGGCCTAGACTCTTTTAAGATCGATTAAATAAGCCATTGAAACCCCTAAATTGGCAAATTTTTCAAGGGCTTCGTCCCATAACAACTTTCGAAACCTTTTAATCAAAGCTTGACCACGCCCACTTTGCTTTAGTCGGGGTAATCTGACCCCTAGTCGGGGCATCGGTACCCCCTCCTGTCGGGGACCTGCCCCCCCCCCAAATCCTGGCGCAACCCCTGATAAGTTGTCTTTCTCATACCGATGCTGTCATCCTCAACGCCAACGCTGAAGCCATAAAAATGCGTATAGACACATATTAGAAAATGATTAAACAGTCATTATTCCCCCAAAGACAAAGTGAGCGAGCAGACAGAACAGCCAAGTCGTGCTCATTTCGCTCTCTGGAGCTTGTCTCTTTTTTGTACAGTCTGAGACAACTATACGTATAATAGTTATCTCGGGGGGTGCCAGTCAGTTCGAGGGGATGTCAGTTTGAGCGGATGCATTTAGTGCTAACTATAACAAGGGCGAATTTATCGTTGCCATATTCTTCTATTTATTTGTTTTAAATGCAAAAATATGCTCTGATTACTATGGTTCTGAAAAGTTTTTGATAATTACTCCATGTTTGAATTACAGTCTTGGCAAATCCGACTACCAAGATGGCCGCTAACAAGTTAAAACTATAATAGAATTGTGCACTTTTCAGCTTAAAAAAGAAAGTGTATGTTTTACTAGCGTCACATGCACAAGTCGAGTTACCATTATTTTTTTTTTCATGGTAAACAAAGGGGGGTGGCTAGACACCCTATTCATAACCCCCCTCCCCCTAGATCCGCTACTGATTGGGGTTTTGTATTTAAAAAAGCAAACTATATTTGTAATTGCATTATATCATTTTGTAATTGTATTTGTAGATTTACGATTTAGGCCTATATTTGTAAATGGGAGCAACTTTAATTGTAATTGTCACCATAGAAATTTAAATTATAGGTGTGTCAGAAGGTGCACATATGAATAGTGTGGTAGTGTAACACAGGGGCGGTTTTACCACTATTTTAAAAATTTCAATGCATATTAATGTTATGTGCTGCTCACTTATCTTTTCTGAAACTGTTGTGTGCCCCCTCTCCCCCTTTAAAAAATTCTGGATCCACCCCTGTGACAAGTATCAACAGTGCAGTAACAATGACATCGTACCAATTTTCTTCTATAGTTCAAAACCCACTGTTTTGTTTTTTTCATGTGGAAAGGATAACATTGACTAAGTTAGTGTAATTTAAGATAAATCATTATTTTTATGAATGTGGGTATATTTATTTTTTTATTTATTTATTCTGTTTTGAAATGGCAGGCTATAAAGGAAAATAAACTCCTATTCCCAATAGGATTCACTTACCATATACATTCCGAACAAATTGGACTTTATTATTTGTTAACCTAAAAATCAATTAAGTACGACTTTCTATACATAAGGCTATAGGCTTCTTCCCCGGAACCCACCGGGGAAATTGTTAGCTCAAAAATAGGAAATTTTGAAGTAATTCGTATATAACTCGCACAGGTTGTTGTTCACACAAGTGGATCATCTTCCGCTCAAAATAGCATCCGCTCGAATTGGCCTTCGCACGGAGGGGCATTGACTGGTTCCCGTCTCGGGCACAATACGAAGCAATGAGACGGGCTATTGTACTGCTTAATTTTCCTTCATTGGCAATTCTCATATAGGAAAAAAATGTTGCTTCCAGCGGCCTAGCTGAGGTAATATATCAGATATCTCCGTAGACAAGAGACACGGTCTTGCTAATTATTGTAATTACTGCATATGTAAACATTGAAATTTAGCTTTTTAAGACTTAGACTGTGTTTTTCCATTTTAAAATGTTTCTGCTTTTGTTAGCAATTTAGTTTAATCATTGCTTTAATCCATAATAGTAATTGCATACCACAAAATGCTAGGGCTCTGAAAGTCTCCCAGTGGTAGTTTTCTGATACCGTTTGACTCGTTATTTACTATATGTATATTCAACAGTAGCTTTGATTAGACATATTTATTACTATTTAGTTTCGTGCTACACATACATTGTGCAGCACTCTTCAGATAAATATATATATTTATATATAAAATGGTAAGGTAATGATTTTTAAAAAATCATAATTTTACAGCAAATTCCAGCTGGGTCATCTAGTTGGTCATTTAAGTCGACTGAACGTGACCATACAGGTCATCACCATGCTAATTATACAGTGTTTCAGAACGAGCAAGGCGATATTCATATTCGTAAACGAAGAACAGCTCACGTTCATCCGCAAAAAATCAACTTTTTTCACAACAAGGTATGCTTTTTTATATTGCTATAACAATATTTGGATTTCTAATCAGCTGGTAGTTTTGCTAAATTCTTGATTCCTCTAATTCAATACTTTATATCATTGAATGTGTGTTTTATTTTGCGTGGGGGTGGGGGAAATGTTTTCTGTAGGTGTGGCATAGGTACTGAAATGGTCCACCAACACATTTTTAATTGTTTACTTACAACCATTTATCAGTTACTGTACTGGTATTTTTATTTGAGAAAATATTTTGTTTCAATTATTATAGGAAATCAATATCAAATCCGGACAGACAGTTCCTCACTTGATACAAATAAATGAGGAAGTTCCACTCGGTGGACGAGACCTAAGGTTAGTGAATGGTTATTTTCTATTATTCTACAATATTTTCAGTGTAAATACTACACACACTGTTTTATAGCGAGGAATAAGTACATTTTGCACAATATTGGCGGGACTTAACGGAAGGTCCATTATAAGGATAAAGATTGTACTGAGTGTTTTTCATTAGTTCGTCAAACATTAATAGCTGAACGAACCTGCAATAACGATAGGTCTATTTTGGTACAATAACTCTCAATATGTTTCCTTTAATAATTAAGCGAGGGAGCTGGTACGATGAATTTTGAGCCTTTAGAAAAACCAAAACATATCAACGGTGAAAAGGAACCATGTAAGTAAGCTATTTAGTTTTCATGTGTTCAGCCTAATCATGTATAGTGAACAACGGAAACCAGGAGTAAATAGATCTTAGACTAAAGGAAATTGTGTTTATCACTGAAACGTAAAGTGTCGAATACGACAACTTGATTCAGTTCAACAAATACTTCACTTTGTTTTTCCGCTAACAGAGGACGCTATGTAATAACCAGTAAGTTTGTGACATCATAAAGTTTCCGAAATGAATTTGTGTTCATATTTTGTCTTACGAATACAAATCATAAAAAAAACATTGTTTTGTTTGTTGTTTGTTTGTTTGTCGCTCTTTCTAAGGATCTGTGTATGCTTACAAAGCTTCATTGTTATTCATTTTTTTGTTTTGGTTTCAGAGCATTAAGGTACATTTTTGTTATAACGAGTAACATACTGTAGTAGGATACAGATTAAGATACCTGCGCAGTGTTTAAGGAATCGAATGACCTATCTATTTTTTTGACAATACCACATTTCTATGTTAATATTTGTTACATTTTGTAATTTTTCTCTAGTGCCTGATATGAGTGTTTATGCTGATAGTCAAATGCGATTTTTAACATCCTTACCAATGTCAGTGCCTCCAAGACCAGATGACCTTATTGACGATACAATAGAAGTCGGAACGGTAAGGAGTGTTTAACAACAAAAATGTTCCAAATTTATGTAGGTATTTTTGTTTTTTCTGGTAATTATGTAATTATTCTTTTTTATATTTAGGATTTTAATTTTCACGAAGATCCTGTGGTTGAGGAAGAGGTCATGCAACATATCAGAGGAAATCTGACCTGCCTTCGAGAAGGCGATCTTGATGAACGTAATGTGTTTTAGGCCTATATTTAGCATTATAAGTGCAAACATTATTTACATTAATATTAGTTTAATTATGTAATTTGACGGCAGGCATTGACAGAAGGTAAATTTTTTATCTTCTTTACGGACGAGAGAAGACCAGAAAATAAAGACATGAAAGTGAAGGATTAGAATATACATATCTAATATCCAATTCAACAAATAAAGGGATTTTTTCATTACTTTATATGAAAAGTCAAATATATATAAAATCATTAAAGTATTCTACATATTACCACAAGTGTGTATTGTAAACACAATCTTTAGCATTAGTTTTAAATAGATACTTGACAAAAGCTACAGTTAGGTCAAACACATGTAGGTCTATATAGCTACACAAAGTATTATATTATATTAAATTAGGCAATTAAATAGATAAAAAGGAAAAAAACTCTAGGTAGAATAGTTGATTAAGTTTGTGACATTAAGAGACGTTAAACATATCGATCTAAACTCAAATCAAAGTAGGCTTACATTGATGATAATATTTGTTTTAAATTTTCAGTTACTAATAAGATCAACATCTGCTACGGTGGACTTATTTCGGCTTTGGAAAAATTACCATACGAAACGGCAAAGGATCTTGCTCATAAATATTTCAGCAAGCCTTTAAGGTAAATTAATCAATAGATCTATCAATTGATTAATTGATTGATCGATCAACCAAGATGGAATGCGAAAGACCACTCAATCAATTTAATAAAGTTTGTTGCATCTAATTTTGTTTATCATGACAATATAATGTAATGCAAACCATCTATATAAGGTCGAAGAAATATGATGAAACTTGTTAATTATATAAAACACAGGCCTCCCTCCAATTAAAGGGTCTTTAATTGAATGTGGTCTTTAATTGGAGGTGGCTTTAATTAGAGGGAGCCCTGTATTATTATATAATACTGTATATTCATCACTTATCTAGCGCTATTTCAAGATAAGAACACTCGAGGCGTGGACATTAGTTTATACACTAACTTTCTTCTCCCTAAGGGTCACTTCATGTCTGGGCTACCAGGTAAACCGATACCAGGTACTCTTGTCTGCCCACAACAGGGGCTGTATATAACCCCCTACACAATTGTGTACACATGTGGTTTATAGTCCTTATCTGAGAAGACTTGTTCCACCCCCACCACCACAGACGAGCGTGCCGTTCGAAACCATCACCGAGACGTTGTAGGCTGCTGCGTTCTTGCTTTAACTGCTCGGCCATTCAACTATCTGTATTTTAAATTAGTTAATTTTGTTTTCTTTGTTTTTTGTTAAGGAATGATCAGGACGTGATGGACCGTGGCTTTATATTGGATGCCTTTACGGGGGTTCGATCTAACTACAATCAAGAACTTCTAACTGAACTTCTTTTTAACTCACGAACTCCAAATGCTGCGCTAATGATTCGTTTTCTGGAACACATACCATTTTTCCAAACTATAAAGTCACAGGTATGATGAGCAATCATGTCGGTCTAATAGAGTAACAACAGGATTAATATAATTGCCTAATCACAATGATGACAATAATAATAATACTAACAATACAAATTTATCTTCTAAATGATGTTTGATATTAAATGTTTATAACTAAATTTTATAGAAACTGATCGATGCTGTTGAAAGGTTAGCAATCACAAAATCGGAATATAAAGGTATGTTAAAGATCAAGAAACCTGTCATAAATGTTTAATATGTTTTCTTGTATAGCTTCAATTGTATCAGGAATTATGTAAAGGAAGCTAAACAATACTATATTACATTACATTTTGCAAAGTGTCATCTGTTATTTCAGAGTTATCTATTGTCAATTTTATTTAGTATCTATTTATGGACACGGTCATTGAATTCTATCTAAACAGGAATCAAAATAATGTAAACAGTATTAGATAAGCTCTTGGTATTTAGGTTAATGACAGCATCGCATGTTCAATAGTTGAATTGAATAGGCCCTAGTATGGTAGGCCTACATGTAAAAGTATCTCACTCTATTATAAAACTGTGTATTGTAAATTCATTGCTTATTTCTATTTAGACGATTCATTTAACTCACTAATTTGTCGTTTTTTCATGAGACAAAGCACACACAATCCTAAAAAATACAACCATCCTTATGAGCACTGAGTATACATGTACACCTAAATATGCAGCCCTATGTGTTTGAGGTGACCATCTTTGTTTAAAATAGCATTTGATTTGCTCATATATGGCATGATGATGTCATATATGGCCAAATCACCTATTGTCCTCTGAAACCCAAAGCGTGGGCAAAGATTTATACTTATATGTTCTTGCATATTTTTATTTATTCACTGTGAATATAATAATAATGCCTGACTTTGTTTCATTTTAATATAAATGTGGTAAACTCTAGGTACACGTGAGGAAGTACGATTACGAGAATTGGCTACTTTCATAAGCGGTGCAATTGTCAAGATTTTACAAGATGAAGGGCGCCATGATGAGGCAGAAAAAGTAGTTGAGACACTTCATAAGAAAGTTGGAGTATTTGGTAATTTTATATTTATCTTTTAAAATCACATTACCCATTTTTCTTATCAGATCGTCATATGAATATTATTTTATAAATATTTTTAGATGCATGGCACCATCGTCGAAGAAGGTCGACAATGTCTCCTGATTCATTGGAAAGATATGAAAGAGATGTTGTGATATTACTTGGTGCTTTGGGAAATGGTGCACATCCAACATCTGCCGATTACATTTTGAGCTTTACAAATTCAAGCGAAGCACCTAAACATTTTCAGGAATCTGGGTTGTATGCCCTTCGTCATTTCCATACACAACAGGTTAGTTGTTTCCTACAGCCGAGCACTTAACGCATCGCACAACGGTAGAACGACCGTCGTATGATGAATCCAACTCCGCTCCCTGTTAGCGCTAGGCAACGCGTGGCGCTGTCTGCTGATAATCGGTGGCAGTCTGAACGAATCTTCGTTTAAAGCTTGGTGTTCATACAATCGTTACACGCTATCGTTGATCGATTGGTCGGTCGAATTGGGGAGCCTTCTGATTGCGTCAGGGATTGCTACGCAAAAATTGCACAAAAAGCACTGTAGCGACAGTATTGAAACGATTTGTTGCGCGCATCGTTGCACTGCGTTCTCCTTAAAATCTTGTCGGCTGACGACCGTCGATTGGAGTGAGTGCCAGCTTAATACATTTGCATTTGTAACTACTGCATGATGTTAGGTGATTCTGATTTCACAGTACATGTCCTATCCATATATTTTTATCATTTTAGTAATTATAGGTATTGCAATATCTGCCATTTCCATTAGTCTATTATTATTTACATTCATTGTAGGCTGCTGATGCCCTTGTTAATGCTTGGAAGACAGAAAAGAACAGAAATTATAAAAAAGCCTTTAAGAAGTTATGTGAGGAGAATCCTGCAGCATACAATCTAGCAGTCTTGTGAGTAGACATAGACCTACTAGGCAGTGTCTATTTAACCAGTAAAACGCCTACATATCCTTTTCCTGATGAATGCGGGCGCACTTCAACCCTAACCTTAAAGATGGGCAAGTTTGAGTTATTGCAGGCAAAATAAACATTTGTACTTTACAAAGGTGTACATGAAACAATATAAAGAAAATCGTAATCTAAAAATATCTACAGCGCTCTATACATGTTTACTATTAACGAAAATACATCCACACTATTAACACTCCTCATAATAATTGTTATAAATTGTGCACAAATTATAATAATTTTATTCATTTTTGCTATGAAACTTTTAGAACTGAGCCCAATTTTAATGGTAGTGTTGTCGAGATACAGCCAGGTCAGTCTCATAATGAGACGGTGACTACTCATAACAGAGGTAAACGGTTCATAAGAGAAGCAGTAGATTTGTTAATACCAGAACTAGATCATTTAACGGATCGCAGTGAAGGGGACAAATTTATTGGCGGGAATTACGGCGGCACGTCAAGCAGCATCATGAATATAATTTCAGGTAGCCAATTTAATTTTATAATTTATGTAAATCCCTGTCCAGACTACCAAATTTTATTTCACAAAAACATGTGACATGCCTAAATATGGTCATGATGGCATCACATCATGACCATATATAAAGAAAATCGTAATCTAAAAATATCTACAGCGCTCTATACATGTTTACTATTAACGAAAATACATCCACACTATTAACACTCCTCATAATAATTGTTATAAATTGTGCACAAATTATAATAATTTTATTCATTTTTGCTATGAAACTTTTAGAACTGAGCCCAATTTTAATGGTAGTGTTGTCGAGATACAGCCAGGTCAGTCTCATAATGAGACGGTGACTACTCATAACAGAGGTAAACGGTTCATAAGAGAAGCAGTAGATTTGTTAATACCAGAACTAGATCATTTAACAGATCGCAGTGAAGGGGACAAATTTATTGGCGGGAATTACGGCGGCACGTCAAGCAGCATCATGAATATAATTTCAGGTAGCCAATTTAATTTTGTAATTTATGTAAATCCCTGTCTAGACTACCAAATTTTATTTCACAAAAACATGTGACATGCCTAAATATGGTCATGATGGCATCACATCATGACCATATATATGCACATCATGACTATATATGGTCATGATGAAATATCATGACCATATATAGGCACATCATGACTATATATGGGCATTCAACAGTTTTTTTGTCAAAGAAGTAGTAAGGACAGAGCATAATTTTAATCTATGAAAGTGTTCTAAATCGTCAGAATCCTATCGCTAACTTTAATAATTAATTAATTGCTTAGTAGGCGCTGCTGTACAAACACTTATGTTTTAATAGTTCAATATGTTGATACAAATTAAATCCAATTCAAATTAAGAATTTGTGTAAGACTGTCGTAACAATACCCACTGTCTTTCAGGAAATATGATTTTCAAAATTCCAGTGAAGAAAGTTAGATGGAAATTGTCTATTTTACTTCATCCACAGATCCACAAGAAACTAGAGCAATCCATGATTTCTCTCTATACGGAGCATTCAAATTTCTACTCAGAATGTTTTCACCATTCGAAAATTTTCGAGCCGCCTACCAGGAATCCCACCTGCATTTACTGTCATTATACACAATGAATGTGTTAGAGGTAAAGTAATCATTTACGATCGTAATATGATTTTGCGTACAATTCGCCATCCAATTGATTGATTGCACTATTGTTGAAATTTGGGGTGGTGTCAGGGTTCGGTCTACAATTAACATGTTTAAGGTCTGTGTAGAACGATTATTAGTTGGTACGTTGTAAAAGCGGACTTGAATTTGAGCGATCTTGAAGTGTATCAGCATTTAATCGCCTGTATCTTAAAGATACTGTACATATGTTCATGTGTCCAATCAGAGATGACTAATTTTTTCATAATTTTGACAAGAGTACGAAACGTATGTTGAGGGGTTGGGGGAGTAGAGGTAAGCAAAATCACGAAATCATATTATTATGGCACCTTTGTGAGGGGGAGGATTTCACGAAGAGTTTACTCATTTTTAGTGATTTTTTTTAATGGATGACAACTGACAGTTCTTTTAATATTTAAAAAAATCATTCTTCTAGGATTATGGATTAGATATTTTGCCAAAAGCCATCAAGCAACTCGATGCATTACTAACGTATCTTATACAGGGACTGCGTAATGCACTCAACGCAGTCATTGAGGTTTTGAACCTTGGACTTGACCAAGATATTTTGACCCTTGTTATCAGATATAAAGCTTTGATGAGAGATATATCGGTAAGCTAATTTATGCTATGTATATCACCTACAATAATAATTAGCAGTGAGTTTGATAGCAGTATCAATACTATTTGGCAAGGTACTAATTTGTAATAAAGCTTGCTTCAATTTCTGGTTATGAGAGCATGCACAAAGAAGCGATCTAACACAATGTAATATTCACTAAATAAAGCATGTTAATCATAAAACATAGCATTCAATCGTCATGGTTAGGGTTAGGGTCATGGTTAGGGTTAGGGTCATGGTTAGGGTTAGGGTCATGGTTAGGGTTAGGGTCATGGTTAGGGTTAGGGTTAGATACTGAACCAACAGGAAGCTTTAAATTACATAGCCTAGAACATACTTACTTTGAATTAAGTCCTCTGCACATTGTGATAACATAGAGTTTTCACGTCGTCTGGTTATCTAGAACTTTTGGGTCAAATCTAGGTTGTGCAGAGAGAAGGTAGGACCGTTACGGATGACTGAATCCTATTAAGGTATACAGTGTTCTCCTGAAGCCGTCTTAGCCGTCAATTTTACCAGTAAAAATAACCAACCAGTAAAAATTTTGAGTTTGTAAAATAAAAAAAACTATTGATTAGGCTTAGGTAGTCCAGGCTGGCCCTCTTAATAAATTAACATCATTTCAGTCTATATCTACACTATGAATATGTGTTGTTTTGTCTTCAAGTCATTTAACCCAACTAAAAAGGGGTAACGTACCTCACATTGTGCGCATTGCAATTTTTTATGGACAAATTTAGCAGTAAAAATTTTTCAGTTGGGAGAACACTGGTATACTTGTACCACAACCACCAGAAATAATGAATTCCTTAATAGTTTGCGTCCATCCATTAGTTTGTCCTTTCCCGTAAGTCGACCATGAAAACTAAATTTGTTATAAGTCGAATGATAATGAATAGAGTGTACAATTGTGAATTATCTCTTTGTAAAAATCATAGTTATGAACAACATTTGTTTTGAAAATGTAAATGTTCGGCTACAGATCGATATTCGTTATAAAGGTCATTAATTACATCATTTTTTTATCTATAGAAAATGTCAACTGTTCAAATTTTAGATGAACTGGGAATCATAAACCTTGAGAATGTTCCAATTGAAATTAGAAATGCAGTTTATTTGGTACGAAATGGTGATCAACTGGTTGCAGATACTAAAGCAGACATCATTTCATTCCTTGAGGTAAAATTATAAGATCTCCTTGATAACTTTTGTTGATATAGTTACAAGTGTCAAAGAAGGTCAACAATGTGTTCTTAATAATTACTGTTAATTGTTTACAGTTGAAACACTTTTTCCCAATAAACTTTTCCATTAAGCCCCACCCCTTGTGTATTGTTGCTAAGGTCTCATAAAATGATTGACAGCGTGAACATAGGTAAACACGTGCATTTGTGGGACAATACATGTATTGGTGGGACGAGTGCGTATTCTTGGTACGGTTTAGATTAGTTAGCTTGGAAGTTTGATTGGCGCTTTGGAAAGGTCAATTTTCATTAATGGCTCTGGGACTGACAGTTTACATAAATTTTAAGTCATTGTAGAACCTTGTTGATTTTTGTTGAAATATACTTACATATATTGATCACTAAATACACAATAATTATAATTATATTTTGCAGGAATATATGGGCGAACTACTTGCCGAGCTTCCTTGGGATGTTGAACAGATTTATAAAACTGTAAAAGCAATGAAGATGATTATCGACAAATTCCATGACCACCCTAAAGAAGCAATTGCAGATTTGTTGAAGATGTTTGATAAGTAAGAATGCCAGAAACAGATGGTGTACGCTTGGTTTCCATACAATTGCTACACGTTATTGCCGATAGCTTTCGGAGATGCTGATTGGTCGGTCGAATCGTTGTACACAGTACAATGATTGCGCAGAAAACACTGTAGCGACAGTGTAGCTATTGTATGGATCGCCTTTACTTGTACAGATATTTGTTGTATAATAATTGTTATGGATGACAATAAATATTCAATTGTATTTAAAATAACGTGCGACTTATTAATAATAGCGATAATATATATTATAAAATAAATATCATATCTACCATCTTATATAATATACCAATAAATAAAATTAAGATCGTCTCCTCTAGTTGACGTTCCCTGTGAAATCGGCTTTCCAAGACAGTTTTCCTGCTTGGGGCGAATTCAGAATAGGTTTAGGCTCAGGAGGCCAAAATCATGGGGGACAACAATATTTATGAAACTGACATATAACAATTTGTTTAAATAACTATTTTTAAAATTTTTTTGTTATACAGGACCGAACGAGCATTGAAAAAGTTTACAATCACAAAAAATCGAATTGAGAAAAAGCTCACAAACCTAAAAAGTAAGAAATAAACCATCAATTTCAATACTTTATTTAAACATATATTAATAATATAAATCATTATGGTAATATTATTGTGTGTTTTAAAGGTCTTCCCCCAACATGGTACAAAGACATCCGACAAGTGGTGGAAGATAAAAAAGAGATGATTAAGGAAGTTGACGAAATACTTCGTACAAAACTGAAAGAGTGGGCACTTGAGGTATGGTATATGTTTTTCTGTTATATTTATTATGTGTGTTTTATATTTGGTTGATGTATTTCTATGCTTTTTTAAATAATTTAAATTAATATTTGTTTGATACATTTTAAATGATTTAAAAAAAAATATTGCTTAATGTTCTTAATAAATATTGCTTATTGTTCTTAATAGATTAAAATTGATGAAATTAATCTTTTAGAATGTACAGCAACGAGAAATCATGAGCCTAGTTCGTGGTGCATTGGCAAAATTAAATGAAACATTGACGCAGCTCAAAGACATTCCAAATTCATTCAAAGAGTCTCTGGATATTGTCAAGTCACATATGGGAAAGCTAAATGCGACAGTCGTGAATGTTTTAAAGAGAGTGTAAGGCCCTTTCTAGAATTCATTATATTTTATTTGACAAAAGCATGTAACATGCCTAAATATAATCATAATGGCATTCTACCATAACCATAATATATGCAAATTATGACTATATATAATCATACAACAGTTTTTTATAAATTTCTAGTTCCGTGGCGATAATATGGTTGCTTTAAATATATTTTTATAATTAAAGACAACACTTAAATGTTTTTTACTTTATAATAAAATCATGCATTTTTGCAACATAGGGTTGATAATGCGCGACATGAAATTGAAGACATCTTTGGTGTCCGGTTTCATAAAGACTTTCCCAGAATTTTTCGAGAAAGGAGTGATACATGTCCCGAAGATGGATTTTATCCAACCACGAGTTTAGACAGATACAGCGAAATTGGCGTTGACCTAATAATCAAAAATAATCAGCAGGTAAGATGTCAACAAATTGTTTTAGTTTATTCATGTAGTTGTAAATTGGATTTAACTTAGAAACTATCTTTACGAGGCTCTGAAAACTTACAAGCGGTTTGTGCAATGGAACATTTGCTCCAATTTCAATCAATTTTCTTGTGTATTTACAGGTTGTAGCGCCGCTTTCAGGTATTCTTTCTGTGATTGGTGATGAAACAATCCAAATTGAAATTACTGGTGGATCATTGATTGATACCATTTTGACAATAGATAATATAAATGTCTACCAACAGTACATTGACGGTCCAGTTCAGGTATGTAGTTTTGAACGAGTAATATATTTAGCCATAATGTATATATATACTTATTTATTTCATAATTATTCAAGAATCAAGATTTATGATGTCATTTATTTTCCAAAAATGGAAATACTAGGCGGCAAACACTTCATTGTAAGGTTAAAATACAAAATATATAAATATATATCAATAATACTGAACATATGACTAAAACACATAATTAGGTAACAGTATATATAAGGCAGGTATATTAGAAGTAGTTAATACAGTAATGTGAATTGTATTGTTATACAGAGAGAGCAAAGCACCAGTGGACATTAAGAGACCTTATCTTTATATGAATATATAAAGATAACAAGTACATTTGATTCCAAAATTGCCGTTCAAAATTGCTTCCTTTGTTTGCGCTAGAGCACTTTAGAGGCATTAACACAAAATGCATTGATAGCAATGTCCACTCTATCAAATTTATTTTACAGATGTGTGTGATGTGTTTATATATGGTCATGATGATGCCATATTACACCCAAATATGGGCATATCACAATTATTTGTCACATAAAACTTGGTAGTGTAGATAAAGGTTAATGCTGTTTCAGCCAAAGCATTGCTTGTGTGAACCAAACTTTACATTAATTCTCTACTAACCCTCTGGTAACTCTGTGACTATTACTTTTCATTGAAATGCAGGTTTACATGGGAGAAATTATTGGAAGAGCTTCGGTCTCAAATTGCCAACCTCACAATTACATTCATGTCGTGATGAAAAAACTGAACGATGCTGGTACAGAATACATCGACCCATCGCCCTTCATGGAAAAGGTTAAACTTGAATGTCCATCTTTTGAGTTTGGACGGAACTTAAATATAGTCAAGTATAAGGTTAGCAAACATTTTGAATTGAGATACTACATTATTGGATAACATCATTATTATTGGTGCTTAAATTGTGAAGTTAAATTCTTTCACAAAGCACTTGTACCTATCAGAAACAACTAACAGGAGTATTCATTATTAATTTGCTAAAATGCAAGTAACAAAATATTATTAGTGTGGTTGGTTCCATCTGCTCACACGCCAAATGGCATTGCTGCCTTTTGTAGGTGTTATTTTATTGATGCTCAATCAACTGTTTTAAAATATCTGTACCATTCACATTAGGAAGCAATGCTACCTCGATATGTCACATGATTTTGTGAAAATAAATTTGATAGTTTGGATAGGGCCTAAAACCTTATATTAATGTGCACATCTCACTTAAGGCAGGTCCTGACGTTGCCATGATCTCTTCTCTTATGAACTCTTCTCATATGAACTTTTACAAAGTTTTGTGTTTATTGTAGGGATTTATCATCGAGTATGATAATCTTATCCCGTTTCATCCAACTGCTGAAGACGCTACTCCACCGAGGGCCTCACCCCCACCGACAGACACAATTCCAATAGAAAGCAGTGGCTTGCTGGCTTTGGTTGCAGATCAAGGTATTGTTCTAAATCCTTTCCTAATTTTAACTGACATTATATCATTGATGAAGGCATATGAAGCCGACACGATGCACCGGCCAACGGTCGACACCGCTATTGTAGTCATTAACACTATTTGAGAAACATGCAGTATTTAATTAAAGCTATATCTTTCAGTCTCAACAGTTTTGTATACCCAGTGAAGTTGTTTTAATTCACATAAAAATGTTAACATTTCTCTGTCATTGAACGTATTACTGTTTAATATTGAATAACACAATCTGATTAGTTAGATATATTTTTATTGTCACTCCCAAATGGTCCATTAGTGGTTGATTGTTTAAAACTTATTTTTCTTAAATGCATAAAAGCTCCGCCAAGTTTTGCATCTACAATTGGATTACCGGAACCAACTGCCGCCGGTCCTCAGTTTGATCCTTATAGTTTTAGCGATATGTCCATGTGCTCGGTAATGGAAGCAATCAAACTTTTGAAAGACAATGAACTGAAACAGAAAGTAATAGACACTTTGATTGCATTTAAGGTACAGTCTGTTTCACAAAAGCTAAATTGAATATGACCTAAAGATAAGTACTGTAATATTTACAATAATCTACATAGTAGACCTATATACATTTTCCTTTGGTTTAATAGTAACATATTATAGACATACACTGAAAGAAATATAAATTACGAATTATATATTTAACATTCATCAGATTAATTACACAAAAGTATAACTATATCTCCACATTCTTATAACTAATTTTCATTTAAATTTCTCAGTTCATATCAAAATATTGCATAATATCGACATGAATTACAGTGATAAAACATTTAAGTTTAAACTTGCCTGGTGCTATAAATGGAGAAAGCGAAAAATACCATTTTTGCTGTTTTTTCTCAACTGCTAGGAAGAAATCGGTGGATTCAAGGCATTTCTACCAAATTCCCTCACCGATGATTATCTTAGAACACTCCTACAGGAACGAGGTTTATCTATCAAGGGCGCTAGAGAGGAATTATTGGCAAGATTTGGTCAACCAGATGATAGTAGGTTAATTTTTTTGTTATCAAAGTTGACCCTTCAGTTTGTTATGCTTTGAATGCTATCTTTTGGTTAGCAATCTATTATTTGTATAATAACCATTTGTAACTGTATAATTATTGTTAGGTAAATTTTTGGGTTTGGCTTTATGTTTCAGTTGTGTTTCTAATTTAGTTATCCTTTAGTGAAAAAAATAGAAGAAAAATCAAAAGTAGCCCCATTTTACTTGTCTATCTGATATCCACAGTGTGTCCCTTGTTGATGGTAGCTATGCAACGGAATGCTTATTGCCGTTTCGAGGACCTCTGCTTGGGTGTAGAATGTCAGATTCCAATTGAAGTTAACTCCAATGTATATCCACTGAAGGTTTTTGTGCGATACCTTCCTGATACAGAAGAACTTCAAGTTGGACTTGGAGAACACAACATAAGGAACATTATTCCAGATCCTCTTGGTAATTCTAAATTATGTTTTTGAATGTTGTGTTTTTTTTTTTATCACCAACCTTAATTTTCTGAAAATTTAATTTATGGTACAACAGCAGTGTAATCATTTCATTATGTATTGTACAATGTTTTATCAAAATGCACATTGTTATTCAATCAAACATTGAGAGTATGAAAAAAATAAGCTGTATTATATAAACATTGCTGTATATGCTGATGCAGAAAGCTGTGCATAAATTCAAATATAATAAAAAATATGTATGTTAATTTGCAGAAATATCAAAAGAAGTAGTAGTCTTAGAAGGTGGTTGGAAAAAATTCAACAAAGAACTCATTGTAAGGTATGGGATAATTGTTTAAATTATTTTTATTGTTAACTTTTATTTGTATTTGACTTTATCAAGATTTTTTGAGAATTAATAGAATTATTGGCCACACAGAGCTTACATTTCTTCTTTTTTTTTTTGTATATCATAAACATAGGCCTGATAAAATCATCTTAAAGATGAAAAGTGGCCTTTAGTGTCACAAAATAAAAAAAAGCTATTGTGAGCAATGGTTTAGCCAGAAAAACGAAATAGGCCGTCCAAAATAAAAGCCAATGGGCGTGGCACTGAGCCGATGGGGGGGGGGACACTCCTATCTTTGGGAATCCCCACCGAATATTGGTACGAAAACAACATACATTCAATCAATAAATGTTGTTTTTATCAAACTTAAATTTGATTTAGATTTAGTTTAATGTAACATTCAATAGATTTGAAGAATATAAAGAATTTGCTAAAAGTAGACCAGGCCCAATTAGGCTAGGCCAAGCTGATTAAGCAAAGCCTTCCAAGCCGTCACGGTAAAAGTGGCCTTCCTAAATAATTGTAGCCATCCAAAAGACGGCCGTACGGCTCGCTGGCCAAGCCTGTGATTGTGAGAGAAATGTGTTGATGGCCTGTTAGAAAAATTGAATATCTGATGTAGGTGAAAAATAGGAAGAATTTTTAGACCAAGCAATGGTAAGACGATGTATTGGAGACATAATTCACTAATAATTTATATTCTAATGATAGAGACTACGTATTATGCACTAAATATATCTTCAACCATTACCATTAGCCAAAATAAGAGGGTCCAAATCTCTATGACTCGCATCAATCATGTTGCATTATGAACGAAACTGAATTGTTTCAATAGATTTTCTGCTGGCTTAGAAAATGGTGAACTGTATTTTGACATGGAGTCACAACTGTGTTCAACTTCGGATGATGATGACTGCGAACCATTGAAAGATATCTTCAATGATATGCTTATTCCAATACCATTTCGTTATCCTGATGGTACATTTGGATGGAAAGACAGTAAGCTATCCTTGAAAAATAAGTCTTATATAATGGTTACTTTTGAATGTAGTAGTGGATACAGTTTACTAAAATCTGACGTTCTATTGCATTTAATCAATATTAAATTTTATTTTGCAGTTAATATAAAAAAATATTTTGCAAGGTCCGCGATGGAACGAATATTTAATGTCACAGAAATACCTAAAGAGGGTGTTGTTGAATATATAAAGGATGATGTGTTAAGGTATTGGCAGAATTTGCTTGACAGCGGTGTAGAAATTATCAATGGTGTTTTGAATGTTAACGTAAAAATGAAACTGAATACGATGTCAATCAAAGGCAATAACGAAGGGAAATCTGAAGGTAGGCTATCTTTTGCGAATATCTTTGTATTCTATGAAACGCCAACGTTAGCAATTGATGAACATTTTTATCTGTTTTTGTAAATTAGTAATTCAAATATTTATAAACTATAATTTAATGAATCGAATAGTAGGGGCAAACATATTATATAGGCCTTTGTATTCTGATTTCTTTTATACCTGATACTTCATTTACGTATGTCAACCTTATCCAGCTGCAAAAGACGCAATTATTTCAAGATTTTGATGACCTTGTATTTGCACAGAAAAATAATTTTTAATAAACATTCATCAAGTAGTGTACAGTATTATAAGTAGGCTTGTTTTTGCTTCTGAAGGTGAACGAACTAGCAGAAGAACTAAGGCGCCTTTTAAACTGGAAAAGATCGCAGATTCAATTAACGAATGCCCAGCAGTAGCAGGTAAAATGACAGAACCATTACAAAAAAATGGATTGGTTGGAGTAGAATATGTGAAAATTAAAACATATATTTAGAATTAGATGAGTTCCTGGATTTGATCAACTTGTGAACCTGTTTGTCGAAAGGGCACCATCTATAGCGTGCCATCATTGCTGCGGTTTTTTTATGTGTTCATCGTGCGCATGTAACATCCATGTCGAAGCACAGTCTTTTGAATAGATTACGATGACAACAAAATTATTTATGTAAGGCCTACATACAATTCTAATATTTACATTTGTAGCATATGGTTTGTGAGAATCCCTGCCAAATGCCCCCAGCTATAGCATTTGAAGAGGGAGAATAATTATATGGACCTGTGTAGGCCTATAGGATCTTTAAAATCTATTCAAATTCGACTCTACCTGTTAATCATTTTTAGTTTCCAAAGGGAACTAAAATTCTTCTTTTAACAAACTATAATTGTTTTTATGTAATCTTTGTTTTCAGAACTTCTTGCTGAGATTGTCCCAGACTTCAGTGTTCTTCCTCGTGGTATAAATGGCAGCCTAAGAGCAATCGGCGGAGGTTTGACGGGTATGTAATCATTTTCATTTTATTTCCTTAATTTAGTTTTAATATAAAATAAAAAATTTTTCTATTTTTTTTTTTTAACTTTACTATTTTCAGAGTATGGAGTTAAAGCATTTCTTGTTAAAATTATGAATATGACCATCCAAGATTTTGAGGCAACAGTGGATTTGCACAATATTCTGTCAAACAATATTCAAGATGTGATGACGGCGATCGTGGAAGAATATAAGAATAAGGTTAATACCATGGATATTTCAATATTTCTTTAATTATATTTAATAAGACATTTATCGTTTCTCTTTTGCTAATTCTTTAATTTTATGAAATAATCTATTTCACTACCTTTTTTTTGTTTTATTTAATGATGGACAATGCTCACAAACTATTCACTCACAAAATACTGTTGAAATAAAATAAATTAAGAAATAAAATCTTTTACCTCCTGTTTTTTATATATATATGTATATATATATATATATATATATATATATATACACATATATATTAATGTGGTTAATTTAAGAGAGTTAACGTCAGGGTAAACCCACAGATTCGTTGAAAAATTTTCTGTACCATTGATATAGTTTCTTATCCAGTTCAAAGGCAATTACTATCTAGTAATCATTCACAGTCTACATCTCTGAAACATCTCTCTGTTGAGTATCTGTTATGCTGCAGGAATATGCCATCACACTAATTCAATGAGAGTCCAACTCTGCTGTTAATATTTAGTTAAAGCGCAACACTGGTTCCAAGAGAATTTCGCATTATTATTTTCTTAGAGGATAATTATTTATGATTTACCTTGTGGGTGATGCCAAATTAATTTTTTTTGCTGTCTTTGCATGTATCGTGTTTTATATTCAAACTGGCAAACAGGTGCTTCTTTTATGTAAATTAGTAAATTGTGAAATTTTGGCAAATTGTCATTAAGTACGATTTATCTTGTTTTTGAAGCTGATCAGCAAAATTGATGCTAAAATTGGTAAAGCAGTTGACAAGATTTTGACAGCGATTGACTATCGTTTCCAGGCTTGTAAACATTTTAAAAAGAAAGTGAAAACGTTTTTTGAATTTGTTTGGGTTCATATTTTAGGCGGAATGGTCCCAATGAGCTTAAGTAAGTAGAACTGTGTGTATGTTTTGTCAATTAATATTTGGGTTCCAAAATGATGTCACACACTGATCATCTTGTGGACTCCAAAGTTATCACATTCATTTACATATTCATATCATTTTGGCCAGATTCACACATATAAAAATGGAATTGCAATTATTATTACTTAGAATTTCATAGGCTTATATTTTATTATGGTTGCAATTTTTGTATGAAAACACAAATTATTATCCTTAATCTATGCACTTGCAAATCAATATGGCAAATTATTTGTTTGTGCAACTGCTTGAAAATATTAAATAATAAACAAGAAATCGCGCTCAACTCAAATCTTTGTTTAGAAGGCCTGCTTCGCTTTTTATATGTATTCATAATAGATTTTATAATACAGTAACCATATTATGGGTCCTTTATTATAGGGTTCAGAGCATATGGATTTGTGGCACCAGGTGCATGTATCGATATCAGTGTACTCAAGTTCAAAGCTAAGGTAATGGAGAGCAATAATAGTGTAGTTTTATATAGCGCACAAATCCATCTAATGTAAGATGCTCAGGGCGCTTGAAATGTGGACTAGTGACTCGAGCAATAGCAATTCTTGGGACCGATATTACTATATGGAGAGAACAAAATCCACACGCGTACAATTAATAATGTTAAACTTTTTTGGAAAAATGATTATATAATAGTGGTAAATAGAGTTTTGTAAATTAATGTGCATATTTTCTTAGGCCGAGCTCTTTGTTTCTGGTGGCGCTACATCTGAAGGCAGGGTATCAGTTGGATTTGGTCTATATGCATCAATGGCGTTGACTGGAGATATCCTTACGGTTAGATTACCCATTGGCATGGAATTTCAGTTTGTACGATCACCAAGCCGAAGGTAAGTTTAATTACAAAAATAAGGAAATCATATTATCAGTTTGTTGATCTAGTTGACCTAACCAACTTGGAAAATAAAATTCAGTATCTGAATTAACTATCTGCAATTAAACAAATACAAAAAATATTGAATGTTTCGATAGAGTTAATTACTTGAATTACATTTATTTTAGGCTGTTTGTTGACATCGAACTTATTCCATTGATACTGAAACTGGACACATATATTGAAGTTGGAATAGGCAGGTTCAAGGTAAAGATTTTCAAAGCAAACCTTTGGGAATACCAAACAGCGTCCCAAAGAGCAAACATTTGGGAAAAAGTTACCATGAAGGAAAATAAGGAACGACCGGTCATTGATCCAGTAAGTTTCATATATTTTGTTACCTCATATTTGTGATAAATAGAACTGTTGTTTATGTCTTTCACTACATCATACAAAAGCGATAATGTTTAATTAAATATACATTAATGTTAATGATTTTTGTTCTTTCGGCTTAAAGGTTTTCGAGCGTAAAACGAAAGCAAGTGATTCCGGTGAATGTTTTGTCACACAAGTGCCTGGACTTGACTACACTAACCCAACATTTGAATTAATATTTAATGCTCACGACAGTCGCAGTGAATTAGTATATACTTTAGATGTTGGAACATTGCCTGGTGGAAGTGACGTAATTTCAGATATGGAACTTGGTGGCGCAGTAACAACTGCCAATGTTGTAAGATTATTCGTCTGACATTGTCTTTTATGTTAGGAAATGAATATTATACAATATAGGTCAAAGGCTGGATTAAAACGAATGATACAGAGACATTTTGTCACCAACTAATGAATGCATAAATATTTTTTTCTACTCTTTCGAACATTACATATAGGACATGAAGGGCGGAGTTCCATTATTCTTTACTGTTAATGTCAAAAGTAATGAAGGGTTAACATCAAGAGCAACGTGTAGTATCCATACATATGACATCACACTTCCTGCTGGTCGCCTGACACCTGGGTTTTTATCGACAAGTCGTCCAGACATTCTCCGATGTTCTACATTAGTGTTTGATGATTCTGAAACTGCAAGTTTGAGAGAAGCTGTAGGGTTTGGCCCTGGTGAATGGGGAGAACAGCTTGTGGGATGGGATGGACCAAGTGGCTACTGGGTCGAAGCAAATGCTGGTAAAATTAATGCCAAAATGTTTATAATCGACTAACTAAAAGAATCATCTATTTTTCCTGTTGATACTTTATGAACTATCATTTACAAAATGTAATGTTAAAAAAAAATTGTATTTGCACATAAATGTTATAAGCCATGACCTCAAAATTATCATTAAGCCGACGCCGAAGCCGCCGCCATTATTATTATATAGTATTATCTTTATCTATATTATTATCACTATCTTTGTCAATATTGTTTTCAAATTTTGGTTTTGTGACAGTGCAATCAATTTTAGGATGTTTCTAGATGCATTTGAAACTTTTTATTTACAACTTACCATTAAATGATATAATTCATAATTTAAATTTATTTGTCTAAATGGCAATTAATTATTGTATATATAACTAAAGAAAATAACTTATTTAATTTTATTATCCAAATGTATTTATTTTTGTTTTCACCAGCTAACCAGTTTCCGAATCTAGAATATTTCTCCATCCCTCAAGTTGGCCGACTGGTGTCAGATCCTGTTGAATCTATTACAAAGCAATACCCGGATGCATGCGCTGCTGAATGCCTCAAACTACCGGCAACAAAATGCAGAAGTTTCAACTATGACATGAGAGATGGAAAGTGTGAGCTACTAGAGGAATTAGAAGGAGATGGGGTAGAACTGCATCAGGTAATATAGACAAACTACAGTTGGCTGTTTCAAGTCACCCAAAAATAATACATTTAAAAGTCACTAAATCCGTTTTGTTTGTAGACACGCTTTACAATACATATATTTAGGCACAAGGCATGGGCTACATAATTTGTTAGAAAACGGTTAGGTATAACAATTTGAATTGATAAAAAGCAAAAACTTCAATACGTTGGTGTCACACTTTTTCGTGAAATTCCCCAAGCCTACTGTAATCCATGTTTTCGAGTGTCCTAATGATTTGGCTCCAGATATTTGATGATTGATTTGGGGGATCAAAATAGTCAGGTAGGGGTCCAAACCAAGAAGCCGACTAGAACCTCGGTCGGGAACTGTTTCGGTTTGGGAACAAAGGCAGTTAGTCGGTTTCTCCAGTATTTCAATCATAGACACCATCATCACAATTGGTTTTTGTAATGTATGTTATTGTTCAATGTTAGATGAAAGTTAATGTATGTAAACAAAATAATCGAACTGAACGACTGCCATTTTTAACTTGATATATTTTTATCTTGGTTTATGACAGTATGGTTACTTTTATCACTATGAACGTTTGGGGCTTGGCCTAGCAACAGACTACACCCACGAAGGACTGAACATGAAGCATAATAATCTACATTATTTCAACATAGAGGCAATCAACACATTGGGCTACAAAAACATTTTATCTTCACTTCCAATTCTTACTGACTTCACAACACCAGAGCCAGGTCTCATTACCAATAGGCAACTTGATGTGACATTTCACGACAATTGCACCTCATTTACACCTGAAGAATGGGAGAACAGGTGTGTGGAGGAAACATTCCTACCAAATCATCGGTAAGATTTAACGGATATATTATTTTTCATTCTTAAAAGAAGAAAGCATAGACTGTGAAATGACAGAGTACCCTGACAACTCTTAAAGTCCTAGGGGTGGATGGTAATCACACCTACTCAACAGAACTGTGTACATTTGGGCCATTTTAAGATGTTGGTGGTGGAGGGGGGGCTTCCTCACTGGCATCGGTGCTGTAGCTGCAGCTTTGGATTAAGGACACAGACTAATTATTGTATGTTCATGTGAAATATGTCTTACTACCAGTACCGAAAATATATTATTGTTATTAATATTATCATCATCATTATAATCTAGCATCATATTCATAATTATTAGCATTATTATTTACAAAAAGGTAACTGCCTTTAGTCCTAATTATGTTTTACACAATATGGTTAATTCAGTGTAATATTCTTGTTTATTTTAGAAACATAATTGACGGTAAAGGGTCGATGACAGTTTTCAATGGACATATACCACTAGTTGATGAGAAGTGGACAAGAGCTAATAGATACATTGCATGTAAGTGCGATCGATATTATACACATTTTAACTTTTACTGGTACTTTCACGTAGCATGATTTACTAAGAATGGTTTCCTTTAATGTTTCTTCCCTCGGTGAAATATTACTTTCATGGTCTTTATCTTTCTCTTTCAAACTATGTGGCAGTGGTTGCGGTTCGTGTCGGGATTTCAATTCATGATTATATATTTTTGCTTATGTCCCACAAACCTATTTATTACTCACAACACTTTTATTTTTGAATAGCTAATCTAAAATTAGTTCACAGTCTTACATAATGCATATCAAATATTATTTCAGCAAATTGGGACGGAATTCATGATGACGAAACTGGGATATTTGGGTACACATGGGCGATTGGCCATCACATGTGTGATGACATCATACACCATCATCATGATCCTCATGCTCATTTGTTTGACGAATCAGAATGGACACACATTGGATTAGTAAATGGCCTAATGCTACCAGGTAAGCATCATCATTGTTATTTATATAGAAATTCATATAAGGAAAAATATCCATGATAGAAAATGTGTTTCTATTGGCTGATAAAGATATTCAATTCAAATTTATTTGAGCATAATTCAAAACATTACATATATATGAATAATAAAAAGATAATTTATTAAAACATTTACAGCTCAGGATAACCCCAAAAAACCAAATTGGCTTATTTCCGTTGGGGTCCCTTAAATAAAAAAATATTACATAAAAGTTGGTTAAAAACTAAAACAAACATTAAAATTTATTAAAACCTTTAAAATTACTAATGGAAGTAAAACTAATAAAAGAAATAAAACCCATTAAAACTTAAAAGTATGTAAAAGTCAATGTGAAAAAAAACAGTTGTAACTACTATACAGCTTATTTTATAGTGGTTTGTGCTGCACGTAATTCAAAATGTTTATCATTATATCCTGTGTTTCAGATGATGAATACTACATCACAGTGAGAGGATTGAATAAGGTTGCATTTGGTGGACCTTTGTCGTTGTCCATCTGCCATTCACTTCCTCTGGTGATTGACAACACCTTCCCTTTCATTAATGATATATTCGACATTAGTTATAATGAAGACTTGGAGGAGGTTTCTGTATCATACAATGTAAGGTAAATGTCATGGCTACAGTCTTGTTCATGTTGACCAGAACGCACTTTACAGTATAAATAATTTTTAACTAATATATAATCGCTGATATTAAAAAAAATAAATGAATACTCTGTAAGCAGTTGAACAACTATACTAAACATACTACACTATAACAGTTATGTTGTAGTTATTAATATTATTCTTACTCTCTATGATTGCAAAGTAAATTCTTATTTTTAGTGACCCTAACTCTGAGATTTATGCGGTGGATATTGGAATAGGAGAAGGTAAATATGATGTTTACCTAAAGGAATGGGAAAGATACTATGACGACAATACATCAGTAGTTCCGTACAAGTTGATAGATGGCGTCCCAGCATGGTTGCAGATAAGAGCAATTAATAATGGTAATGTTATTATTTAATATTGTATACTAAATACTGTCTTTTTATAATCAAATTTTATGCTTTAATAGTTTTGGTACTTGTGTTAGTCTGATTATGCAGTGGTAGAAGTAACGTAAACTGAACTTTGCATACTGCTAGCATGCTTCGTGAATGATAATTTTTTTTCACGCATTGAAAATTATCAGTTATACTGGTGGTCATTACGACAAAATGTTCAATTCGTAAACCAAAGGCCTGTAGAGGGTTGGTTAACTCTATTGTTCCTAAACGCCTTTTATGTTTTGCAATGATTTCTGCTTTCTTCAGTGGACCTCCGTTTAGTTGATCACGCTGATTCACCACTAATCGTTGACTTCAGTCCTCCAGTTGCTGGCTACTTCAGAGATGGGTTTAATCTTGGTATTGATAGTGATTATGAAAGTGACGAAACGCAGGTACAACATATGATAATTTCATAGTAAACATATTTAAAATAGCAATTTAGTAATTTCCTTAAAGTAAGTTTCTGTTGTATTTATTCAAATATACGTCCCCATGTGTTATTATGTGATCCCAACGACTTGATAATCCCAACCTGGCTAGAAAAAATGTAATTTTACAGGTGTAGAATATTAATGTGTTGAGAATGATGTAGCTTCCATTAGTTTTTTTACAGATATTTTAAGGTGGTGTTGGGAGGCAGCCGTTTATTGGGGAAAATAACGCACCAGACGTTTATTAGAGGCTGGTGTGTTTTTCCAAATTATGCTCTTGATTGGACGTCTATTCAAGCGGGGCATTAAAAACAAATATGTGTATAAAAATCTAATATTCATTTGAAAAGGTTATTAAATCTTTAGAAAATGTTATTTTCAACTGTTTTTTTCTCACTATGAACAGTATTGTGCCAATTGGGTAGATTTTGCCGACGAGGAATCTGGTATTGCTGGTTATGTTTTGGGATTAGGAACATTTCCTGGATTAACGGATGTTGCAGAGTTTATTTCACTTCAAAGTCATGATTACAAATTTTGCATCAAAGGATTGCATCTGCAACATGGAGTCAAGTATTATGGAGTGTTAGCAGCTTTCAATGGTGGACATAAGCATCTCAATACAACGGTTGCTTCTGATGGAGGTACAGACAAATCTTACCCAATTTTTACTTCAATCCGAATATCCTACCTAAGATTTACTAGTTGAATCACCCTTGGCAATTTTTTTTTTTCGTTTACCATATTTAAATTTTTGACATCCAATAATGTCATTTTTTTTTCTAAAATTAGTGCTCATCGATAAAACGCCACCAGTGGAGGGTGAACTTCTAGACGGCATATTGGCGAACAACATAGATCTTCAGTATTCTTCAGCTCCCGCAACAGTATCTGGCCAATGGCAAAATTTTACCGATCCGGAATCGGGTATTGATGATTTTGTCATTAGTGTCTACTGTAGACATACATTGAGGTAAGATTAAAACACACTATATTTACAGTTGCACTCTGTTTTATATAAAAAAAATTTGTCAGCAATGATGATGCAACTTAAAATATTTGTTGCAATTCTAGTGAGGAATTTGCAGAGTTTGAGGTCATTCATGAACCGGAATCTGTTGGTCCAAATACGTCATTTTTTGAATGGCATCATTTCCACCTGAAAGATGGCGATGATGTATTTATTGAATTAGAAGCCATCAACCAAGCTGGGTTGGCGCTATCAAAACAATCTGATGGCTTTAGGGTTGATCTTACACCTCCGATTATGACGTTCATTGGAGATGGAAGTACACCAGGAGAGGATATCGAATTTCAGGTAACACATCTGTAATGATTTTGTTCACCTAAGCCCGGCCTCAGGATATTGTTGCTATGGTGTAAACTGATAATATTTCGTAGGACAGGCATGTATTCATAACTGTTAAATAATACGTACTGATTGACAGGTTTGCTAAGTTTGATCGACACCCTAAAATGTTAGAAACATTACACTTTGAATTACTATTCTCAATATATTCAATATCTTTGTTTTCAATTTTTATTCCCAAGTCAAATGATACTCTCATTTCGGCAAACTGGAAATTCAATGATCCAGAGTCTGATATGAACCACTACAAGTTCTCAGTTTCTGAAACCTATGGAGGAACCAAGCATCAAATATTTCCAAGTAAGTTCATAGTTGATAATAAATAACGGTGTTTTATTTATTACACATTTGAATAATATTATCCATCTGTGTTAATGTTTAAATTGTACAGTAGTAGTTACGATGCTAATTTTGAATTACAGATTGCAATTTTGAAAACCAGAAAATTACCTTTCTCTTCTTAGGCCCCCACACCCATCCGCTGTTTGTGGAAGTACCTCAAAGTATGAATGTTCATACTGAGGCTGGTCTGACTTTGAAAGAAGGCGGCCTTTATAACACGCGAATTGCAGGAGTGAACAATGCCGGTTTGACGTCACCACACGAAACAAATGGTGTCATCATTGATCCATCACCACCACTGGTAGAATGATTTTTCCTTGCATTCAACATCTCACTGGCAATTGAGATATTTCCTCATTCATTTGAAAATAATGGTTTACATTGCACATACACTTTTACTCATTTATTAAATATTCAATGTCAATAAACTTCAAAAACACTACTGCTGACTAAACTTTGAAAATTAGATTATTGTGAATTATTGTGTATTATACTTAGTTTAATGATAATGGCCCTTTCTACTAAGCCCCTATAGTATTGTTGCTAAGGTCCCGAAATAAGAAAACATGAACATGTGTTAGCACGTGCATTTATGGGACACGTGTGTGTTTGTAATACATGTGTGTTTCGCTTTTGCTGATGAACTGTGTTTGAACTTTCATTAAATGTTTGATACAATATTGACACTTCTTAAATGTCCACCTTCTAAAAACCTTTATGATGCACATTCTTGTAGATTTTTAGTGTCAAGGTTGGAGTTATGGATGGAGGTGAAGCTGAGGAATTATTGTTTGGCTATGTTTGGCAAAGCGACAAACAAGGGATCCGAGCTACATGGAAAGCAGTGGACGCTGAAAGTGGCATCATCGCATATTGGGTTGCAATTGGAACTCAACCAGGTAACAAATATCTAACTACATGCACCTTGGTATTTATTTATTTATTTCAATATTTCAAGATAAATAAAAATACAACAAAAAGCCCTCCAAGGATAACTAAAAGAACTGTAAAATTGTTAAAATACAATATCACAATTGTTTTTTTAATACAGTAGTAATCTGCACCAGTAATTACCTTGGCCTCTACACTATATTTTGCAGGATCAGGTGATATTCAGCAATTCATAAGCATGGGACCGGATGAATCAGCGTACATCAATGGACTTAATCTTACACTAACTGATGCAAATACATGTTCAGATTTTGAATTCCTAGAATCTTGTCAACCAGTTTATTACATCACCGTAATGGCAGAAAATGGGGCACGTTCTTTTAGTGAAAAAGTTATCTCATCACCAATCCGAGTTGTTGAGGCTGATAAAATAGGTATAAAGAAAAGGAATTGATATTTTTTTTCATTTAGTTTTTGTAAAACTTACCCTCGAAAGTGTACTCTTATAATTATGGGATTTATGAGAGGTAATGTTCATGTTGCTTGAGCTGCAGACCCCGGTTCATAACCGGCCAGCTTTTGGTTTTAATTGGAGTATGATGGCTCTGCTCCTTGAATAACACTCACATGAGAGTTCCCAGGATAAGGGATGTGTCTGTTGTTGGTACTGGGGCTGCACAGCTAAGATTTCCAATTTCAAGTACAGTATTTGGTATTGGACAAAAAAATGAAAATATGATCTTTTAATCTTTAAAAGATGGTAACATCTCTACTATTTAAATGGAATAATCCAATTTAAAGATGGCTGTAGAATACTATTTTTGGGATGTAATACTTATATATGTTTAATTTTCAAGGAATGGTTTGGGATGGAACTGAAACTGAAATCATTGATGGGAGATTGATTGTTGCACATGATATTGATGCTCAGATGCAAGAAACAGAACTGTTTGCAATATTCCATGGTTTTGAGGTGAGAAAACAATGGTTTACTTAAAGGTCGCACTAGTGTGTCTAGCTACAGTGATTTTGTGTTTTAAATTGATTTGTTATCAACTAGATTTGGAAGAAAATGGAAATTTCACTGCATACTGAAAGAGCAGTATGTGCTCAAGCACTATAGTATTGCCAAACACGCCTACGGGTAGTAAATTCTAAACCAAAAGTCAATACAATACATAAATTACATGTTGTTTTAGTTGTTTTTGGTAGAGGTTGATTTTATAATAGGTCAAAATTATGAGATTACTGTAAAAGATGTTTGTATTTGATATCATTTTAAAACGCATAAATTATAATTGAAAGAGTCAACTGGATGGACTTGCTGCATACGAATGGGCAATCGGTACTGAGCCTCGTTTTGATGATGTACAACCATTTTCACAAGCAGGACTTGTTTTATACAAAGATCCAAACCAAATGGGAACAGGTAGAGACACTATAACATCTTTGATTATCTTAATTATTCTTAAAATATACAAGAGTTTAGTTTGCATGTTTTAAATGTAAAGGTAGCAGAATAAACCATGATTCGCAGCATAATTTTGCAGAATTATATGGTCGTTGACTACCTTAGTCGCCGTAAAGAAACGTATATATTATTTTATTATTACCTTTATGCTCAATGATTCCACAAAGACAGGGATTGAAATGAGCCATAGCATCGGGGTAACCAGATGTGTAACACTGGACCTCAATTTTACGTTCTTATCTGTGAAGACTTGATTCTACCAGCCGAACCCCGGGCGAGGAGGGCTAACAAGCGTCGATTTTAAGGCTGTAGTAGTGCGGTGCCTTAGTTTTTATAATGTTATTTCTGGGTGAAAGACCCATTAGGCGGGAGTCCAAAATTGCACACTGAATGCTTGAATATTTTCTTAAATACTATATAATCTCTCCTCAGGTCTTCCCGGTTCAGGACACGCATACACTACCATTACTCTTGAGCATGGTGTAAAGTATTACGTCACAGTCCGCTCAATCACTGGTGCTGGAAACGTTCTCGAAGCAGTGTCAGATGGTGTAATAGTTGACCAAACTCCTACTGAGATACATTCTCTAACTTTCGGACTTCCCGGTGAAAATAATACCGAGGTAATTAATGCAATAGTTCTTTCTGACGGATTCAAGGAGGCCCAGTCGTCCCATCCCCCTTAAATTTTTCAAAATTGAAAAAAAAAAAAAAATGGGTACTATATAAATTGCATTGTAGTGCTATTTCCAACCATTTAGACGTGCCATAATAAATTTTCTTCCCTTAGCGCCAACCATGGTGGGGCTGAGGTGGTATCTCCTCTATCTGTGAAATTCCCTCCCTGGCCCCTCTTCAAATTTCTGGATCCACCACTGAAAAACGTTTAATGCATATATCTTCAGAAATCCATTAGATAAGACCTCAAATTATAAAAATATGCATGAGCTCCGCCTCATCAATACCAGTAGGGGTTTCCCCTCGGCACCCCCTCCCCCGAGCCATTTTGGTTCATTCTCTACAATTCTCACCTATGCAATATAAATCCTGGGCAAAGGCCTGTTTATATAAATACTATATAAGCCCAAATTATTATTAGGCCTATCATTATTATTATTATTATTATTATCATTATTAATATTATTGTTTATATTGTCATACACGCACAATATGATTCAAAATATAACAATAAGATAGGTGCATTAAGCATACATAACTATCAGTTGATAATGGAAAATTTATAAACACAGTTATCATTGTAAAATAGATAAATTTCTCTAATAATTTTTTAATGATTTTTCAGACCCTCAATTCTGAAGTTACAATATATTCAAAGACAGATGATGAACTTTTAGCTAGTTGGCAAATGGCAGACATTGAAAGTGATGTCATCAGTGTTGAGTATTCATATGGGACGTATCCACTTGGAAGTGACTTGAGCAAAAAGGCAGAGATACTTAACACTACTACAACTGCCAGTGTTTTCCAAATGCCTATTGGGAAAGGTTAGTAACTGAAAAAATACCAAAAAGAAAGCATGCTGTAACAATAATAATCTTTTATGTAGTAGTGATATTTTAATAAACTTTGTTTCATCTTTTTTTGTGTAGGCTTGTCAAATGTCCTAAACATCTATGTTACAAATTCAGCAACACTACGTACAGAAACAGTGTCGAGTAGTATCGTTGTGGATATCAACCCACCTGGAGACGGAGAGGTACAGTAATTTAAGATATTATTACTACTGCATATACCTAATTTAACATATACTGGAAATTTCCAAAAATAGATTATAATTTGTTTTGATGTTAGTAAACTTGATGCTTGAAAATTGATGTTCGATTATCAGGTGTTTTGTCCAGAGTACATCAGTGAGAGAAAGATTAAATGTTCATGGGCTGGTTTTGTGGATGTTGAATCGGGTATTGAAACGTATTCTTTCTCCATTGGGACACAAGTTGGTGCAAATGATGTTTACTTTGCCAATGAGATTCCTGGATATGCAGATGCATTTTTAGTTGAGGGTAAATTATTTTAAGTTAATAGATTTGATTTCCCATTACTTTATCAAACATTTAAATTAAATAAAAGGAACTTTCGTTGATGCTTGATAC